GAAAAACATTAAGTTAGTTGAAAACCAAAGAGCAATGCCTTGTACAAACATAGATGTGATTTGCATGCTTCAACAACTAAAATAATACTACATTCACACTAAAAAAACCCTACTGGGGCATAAAAATATTGACATTTTAAGAATTCAAATTGAGTTTACAATAATGATCAACCTGGGCACAATGAACAGCAAATGCAACACTCTAGCTATAAAAATGCCAATAGCAAAGCTGCACCACTTAGTTTAAAAAAAAAGTACAGACATCAATTGTCCAACCATAGTGGACTAAGTAAATTAAACTCCACTCGTTTAATAAAATGATATTCAGCCATTAAAAAGCATAAAGTAAATCTCAATGTTCAGCATATATAACAACGTCCATAACAGACTGCTAAGTTTAAAAACAAGAGACTTTGAAAACATTATGTAAATTCAAAGATGCCGGAAACAAAAGGCCACATAGTGTATGCCTCTATTTCTATGAGACGTCCATGATAAGCAGATCCAGAGATGCACTCGCCAGGGTATGAGGAGGGGGGAAAAATGAGAGGTATAGAGGTTTTTGTCTTTGGCTGGGGGGAGAGGGGGAAGTGATAGAAATATTCTGAAAATAGTGGTGGGTGATGATTGTACAATATACTAGAATACACTGTGAATATATTAGAAAACACTGAATTGCACACTTTAAAATGGTTAAAATGGTAAATTTTGTTACTTGAATTTTATTTCAATAGAAATAAAATGTGCATGTATTTATTCATGTGTACGTAAGCCACTAGGAAGAATGGGTACCTATGTGAATAATCTGATAAAATGCATGCTCATCTATTTAAAGGGAGTTAGGTGAGGAATGAAATTTGGGGATAGAGGGACAATTTCACTTGTTTGATATTAATATTTTTCTGGGAAATAGTACTATATATATTTTTGTCTCTATTAAAATCTATCCTAAAACCCTTCTCTTGAACTCTAGAAACATGTATGTGCTGGCAGTTGCTCTGCCTCCCATTCTCTTTTTCATGTTTTCTAAAGTTTATTAACATAATTTACATATCACAAAATCCACCTATTTTAGTATTAACACTTAAATTTAGTTAGTAAACCTACAGTTGTGCAGCCATCACCACTGAAAAACTTCCCTCCTGCTCATTTGCCATCAATCCCCACTACCACCTCCTGCCAACTGCTTATGTGCTGTCTTTATAGATTGGCCTTTTCTAGATATTTACATAAATAGAATCATATGATATGTAGCCTTTTGTATTTGGCTTTTTTTTTTTTTAACTTAGCATAATATTTTTAAGGATCATCCATTTTGAAATAGCTTATGAATAGTCTGCTTTTTATTGCTGCATGGAGGTATTTTATCACGGTGATAGTCTATCCAGAAAAGGAAATACAGACGTTTACATTTAGAAAATTAAAAATTAAAACAAAACAAGGGCTTTTAGTACCATTCATTGCCTAAAGACTCCTTCAATATTATCAGACCATGACACTGATAACCGAAAGCAAATATGTCATTAAATTTTATAAAGACATTCCTTTGAACTAGGAAAATATAAAATAACTAGATTTATTCTGTTTGTAGGAAAATAAGACATCCAACTAGATTAAAAGTATAATTTACAAGCATCTTAAATGTTTGAGTACTTCTTTTGTTTTCCCATTTTTTCCATTATTCATTTGTGTGTGTGCCACAAGTGCTGATAAGCTATTGAAAACACCTTAATGCATAATTAATCACACTGCAAGCAATCAGAAGATTTAGTGCTAGTTGCAGAAATAAACCAAATTCATATACGCAAGGTAAGCCTAATTAGTTAAGCTTACAAAAAATGTAATATCCAATTTTTAGAACCTAATGTGCTCAAGAAAGTATTTGTGCTTTTAAATTAGAACAGCTCTCTATTTAATTAGTCCTAATTTGAGTGTGTAATCATTTTAATTTATTTACACACAAACACAGGACATTGTGCTCCATCAGCAGATAATGTTCTTCATTAAACAGAGTAGGAACTTTGTGCTCAAGGGCAGAAGAAATATTTCCACCTGTGATGCAAAATCAGAACTGCCTACTATCAAATTTCATTCTTCAGTTTTGATGGTCACCATCCTGAAATACATATTTATTAATAATAACACAAGTTTGACTAAGGACTCTGCCAATCCCTAGAAATTGACAATTTAAATATTTAATGTTTCATTTTACCTATTGCCCAGTTATAAATCGATTATTTAATTATTTATGATCAAATTAACTTACTCAAATTCAAGTAACAGTAATGTACTACAATTCAAACTCCAATAATTTGGATGGTGCAGAAGCAGAGTTAATTTTTTTTAAAGTTAATTCTTTCTTCATTAGGGGTGAAAAGTAGTAATAGCCTAGACTGTAGAGAGTGGTGAGGACAGGTTTTATTTAGACTGTATGAAAACAAACACTGTATGCTTGGCAGGCTAATGACAGATCATTCTTATGTATTCATTAAAGCATATGAACCAATTCTTCTTTAAGGCATTTCCAATAAATCTTGATACCTTGTTACTGACACACTGCTTCCCCTAAATCCTAAATACCCTCTATAAATAAATAAAAGTCTCTCATGAACTCATCTTCTGTAACTATCATTGAAAAGGTACTTTAGTTTTTGCTAGTAAATAGCAGTTGAAATTTGACGCGTCACAATATGAGTCAGTGGATAGCATGTGAGGGCAGCTTTAACAGGAGTAATTGTTTGGGTAGGAAGCTTACTCTAGGTAGTATTCTGAGGGAAGGCCCAGTGGTACTCCTGGGTAAGCATGCTTCATTGTATAATCTGTATCATGAGAGCTGTTATATGGTTTTGAAAACTTTCCAGACTACTTTATGAAAGGCTAAATACTTGCTATATAAATATTTTTTTTCTTTTTCTTCCAACAGAGGAAGGGAAAAAACTTGTCTGAGTAACAGATCTGCTTTATATAACAGTATGGCAAATGTGGCCTTGGTTTCCTATAACTCTTCATGATTAAGTCAGAGTATCACTACAGAATAAGATTTTAACTTGCACAGTTTCCCTTTACCCAAAGATTAAAATTCTTCTATTTATGTGAAAGAAAAATAGTGTCTACTTCACATTAGAAAGACTCCCTTTTATGTAGGTAGTAGGTACTGCAAGCGTAATTGCATAATTTTAACTTTAGAGACAACTGACTGAACTTTGGAGCACATATTTGAGTTTAGCAATGCCTATTAAGGTTAAAAATACAAATTTGCAAAATACCAAATGCACAATGCTTAAGTTCTATCCCAAATGATGTTATTAGATACAATTTTTAAAATTCTCTTTGATTAGGTGGCCACTATCCAAAGATAATATTTTAAGATTTACAGAACTTTGCATGATCTGCGTAACTGTATCTGGAGAAAGAATGTCTATTTCCATAAGCCTAGTTATATAGTTCTTGAAAATACCCATTGGTAATCACAGTATTATAGCCAAGCCATAAAATACGCATTTACTCCATATGTAAAATCAACTACATGATCTTGGCAGCATATACGCATGCATTAATAACATACTAGTAGAAGTCAACTGGCCACTCCACTCACAAGTACAATATTTGGAGACAAGGCATGTGTCAGTCTGCCACCCCTACAGTGAGTTTCAGTTACTCAGTGACAATCACTGGATGAGCTTTTAGCTATGCTGAGTGTGTCTAGTGTTTAAAGATACCTGTATGCTTTCAGTATAAAATGGGCCCTAAAGCAAGGCAGATAATCTATCTGGTACTTAACTGAAGAAATAGATATCTATTCCAATGCTAGACCAAAAAAAAAAAAAAAAAAAAAAAAAAAAAAGCCACATAGTACTTTTGAGACACAGTACAACAGTCTTTAATGTGTATATAAATATGACTACATATATTATCTTTTTAAGAAGAGTTTGATTACGAGAAGTTTTGGCTATGTAAGACTCTGTGGGTAACCAAACAAACTCTAGAACTAAAGTTGCATCAAATGCCACTCTATTGCATAGCTGTTTGGACAGCAACAGTTAAGGATAAAATAGTTTTGCACCTTATTATTTTGGAGCTAAATAAAAAATCACCACCACCACCAACAAAAAAAATCTCTAAAATGATTTGAACTAAAAATTTTGTTGGGGATAGGGTAAACAACAAATAAGAAAATAATTTGATCCATTTGTGGTATTTGGCTGAAGATGAGCAGTGTTAAGTCTAACCAACAGTGAGATAATTTTAACTCCTAAAGCATCTTCTACCGTTTATTAGCAAAAATTGGATATTAATGAAAGACATTGTTACATTTTGCCTTCACAAGAACTATATTGAAAAAGACAAATGAATTGCAAAGACAAAATACTATACAAGAATTACAATACAAAATTTGCTAAGTTTGAAAACCTACCAAATTGCTTTCCTAAACTAATTTGGTAAGTATGAAAACCTAGCCCAAACAAATTAATGGCAAGTGGGTTTCTCCAGAAGATTAAGAATGAAGAAAAACATACTTATGTGAATCAATAAATATGTTAATTCTCTCAATCTCTTTTTATGCTTTGAAAACTTGTTCTAAAAAAGAAACATTGATATATCAGTTTGGTATGTCTTTTTATTTAGTCTGAAAGTCTCTTTTTTAAAAAAAGCAACATTTTCCTCCCCATACCATATCTTTCTCATAACTATAACTGGGGTTTGTCCAGAATCAGAGGCAGTTTTTCTAGAAAAAGCCAATGATCAGTATACAAGATACAGTATTTTCCTAAAACTCCCTGGCAAGAGAACACGACAATATAAATCAAACGTATTTAATACAAGAAAACAATGTAACTCAAAGTAATCTGCTTATCATTTAATCCCCTTTTTGTCTGATTCTATACTAGCTGATTCTACTCTTAAAGCTTAGGTTAAATTAGGAGTCAAAATCAGAGCCTACTTAAAAGAGACAAAGAGAACAGTGGGTTAGTAAAAGTAAACTCAACAACACAGTTAAAATTAATTGAGAAAGTTTTAATTAATAAGCATTCAAATGTACTTTACATTGATAACTGCGATACTGAAATTGTAAAACTTTAAATATTTTTCTCAAAAAAGGTTAGTGACTTTTTTCTTTTTTGGGAAATGTGGAGACCCAACCATGAGCATCAATGCAACCATTCCAGATCACTAAGCCTTAGTTAACACTAATATCTAAGTAAGTGTTCACATTTCATGTCTACAATAAGGTAGACTGTGAACTTCCTATAGCTCTGAATTTTAGCAGAAATTCCAAGAGATAATTTACAGTAATGTCAAATTTTTGGAGTGGAAACTCATACTCTACATTTGGATCACTTTTTTGCTTTGAGTGCACCTGAACTTGAGAATACAAGGCAATTTTTCTTTCCTAAATCCTCGGAAAAATATTTTTTTGCAGTAAGTCTTCTTTACTATGTCTGGGTTGTTGTTAAGAAAGATTATCAGCTTTGTGTTTGGTTTCCCACAGTTGATAAAAATCTATCAAAAACATTATAATTTGCAAAGAAAAGGTTTTTCAAAGGCTGCAGGAACCGGAAAGAAATAGCATTTCTTATTTGTATAAACACAAACATTTAAAGCTAGTCGCACTGCAGATAAACCCAGTATAGTATGTAAAAGTTCTATAAAAATGAATGAGAGGTACACGTTTACTTTCATTGCTCCAGCAGTCATATGTAAATCTGCATGAGAGTTGCACTGCAGCAGGTCACTGGTCCAATTTAAGAGTTCAAGGTCCTTTTTGCACATTTGGCCCACTGATGTCCACATCCCAGATAAATTCAGTTCAAAAGACAGAAATCAGGGCAAAGACTCCATATAACAAAGCACAAGGATATGCTACTAAAAGTTGCTGTCCTTCCATGGCTAATGCAGAAATAAATATTTTGGAAGCCGAAAAACTACACCATCCAATAATCACAGCAGTGAGAATGATTCCTACCATTCCTCTGTAACCAACAAGGAAAAAAGGGGGAGGAGGAAAAAAAAAAAGCAGATGAGATTAGTTATGTAAGAACACTACAATAGCCTATTCTAAAGAAAAGCATTTTAAATTTACATTTTAAATTGGCAAGTAGACACATGCAGAAATAATCACTATTTTTTCAATGCTAAAATGTACCTCACAGTGAATTCAATGATGCTGAATCATTTCATGTAATAGCTTTTTTAGAACTAAATTTTACTTTAAAAAAATATAAGGTCTCTCCCCCTTGGCACTACTGACATTTGGGCTGGATGTTATTTTTGCTGTGGGGGCTGTTTTGCCCCACCCCTCCGTCAGGCATTGCCAAATGTTCCCTTGGAGACTGGGTTTCTCTGTGTTAGTCAGGTTGGTCTTGAACTCCCAACCTCAGGTGATCTGCCAACCCTGGCCTCCCAAAGTGTTGGGATAACAGGCGTGAGCCATCGTGCCTGGCCATACCTTTCCTTTTAACCTAACCTAAAGTATCATTTAAAAATTACACATATTTAAAGCTGTTTACAAGTATATCTATCTGAGAAACATAGTAGGCTGTTAACAGCCTCTTGTCATAAAAAGAATACATTTCCAGTTAAAAAGCTGTCCAATGGAGTATGTATTTATTATTCATATGTTTGGCACATGCCCAATGGTTTCAAGAAATTAGGTCGGATCTAGAAAATATTGAAGAGGGTAATTAAGCATAATTTGAACACTAACGTCTTGAACTTTTTAAGGTAATATGTAACAATCACCCTGTTCAATTTGTTACCACTATGACAATGGTAAGTAAACACAAACTAGTGAAATTCTTTATCATGGGTAAAATAAAAATGGTATAAAAGGTTTTTAAATTTATTCTTGTTATCATTGTTCTTCATCCAAAATCATCTGGCACAGTCCCTACTATCAGAGGCACTAACTGATATGTTTGTTGAAAATCAGTGATTTACTTGAAACTGAAGATGAGGCAAATCCTACTACATAGAATCAGTCAAGCAACCCCTAAAATAAAGATCAGTACTTACTGCAAAGAAAATATCACTGCAAAGCTGGAAAGTAGGATCATGGGTAGAAGACAATATCCAAGGACACTTGCCACACAACCAAATGAAACACCTGTCATGCTCATTAAGTTTAATAAACAAAACATTCCTAGACATCCAATGGCACTGATCCCGTATACATAGCCAAATTGAATTTTGCCAGCCTACGGGTAAAGAAAAAGATTACAGGTTAAAGGGTAAAATATAAGTTACTTTTGGCCTTATTTCACCTGAATCAGTACGTGTGGGAAATAACTGATGAGCATGAAAATCTACAGATGTATCCAGTCTTTATGTAGAAAAGTAGACAGGTTTGTTACAGTCTTTGTAACTTTAAAGTGCAGATATTTCTTTCTCCATTTTCCGGTTAGCAGGTGAACTTGGAATAGAAGTGAGCAAAGAGACAAAAACATAGCAGATGTAAAACAGTAAGGTTTCTAAAAAGAACTCTGGATGACTTTAAGCAAATAAACTAGAGACAAGATGGAAAGCCATTCAGAATGGAATAGGAATAGGAATATCTGCTGAAAGTACCTAACTCCACCAAAAATACCCCAAAGCAATTAATTCTCATTGGTGGAGGTAGTAATAATCTTTCTAAGAAGAAATCTTATGATTCACTTTATATGGGTGTTAGCGGAGCAAGGACAGACAGGAAGCCAGGGCTCTACGAGGAGGAGAGAAGAAATGGCGAGAGGATATAATGGAGGATCTTTTTTCTTTCCAAATTATTGGCTGATTTATACAGTCCTTTGATTTAAAAAAGACATCAATAAACAGTATAAAGCACTGAAAAGATTAGCTAAATTGGAATTATCCTGCTCTTAGCCAAGTTTGTGAACAAAGATTATATTCAGGTCACATTACCACTAAAACCAGTTCACAGAAAAGCCTTCAAAAAAGTTCCTGACTTATCCAATTTTTGTCACATTAAATAATGAGAATGCTTCCACAGATTACATTAACTAAAAAAAATTGGGACTTTTATTAAATTATTTGCAAATACTTGATTAAAAATGCAGAAGTTTGAAAAAGCTGAGTTCACTGAGGAATTCATTCATGTAGTAATAATAAACCTTATATTTGTACAGTGTTTTTAACTTTTCAATGTGTTCTCACATAACCTATCTTGTTTCATCTTCAAAATAATCTTGCTAGGTAAGCAGGATAGGATGATTTTTCTATGACAGGAAACTGAAGGATTAAATGATGTAGCCGAAGGCAGAGTTGGAGCACTCAGTTCAAGCCCAGCTCTTCTGACTAGAAATCCCATCTTCTATGTATTAATTATCTCTTATAATTCAGAGAAATATATTAACAATCATCTTTACAATTTTTCTGTTTTCAATATGCCTTAACATTCTTGGGAAGGTGATAAATTGAGAAAATAATATATAGAAAAGCAATAATCGGTATGAATATAACAAAAGTTTAACCAAGGTCTGGAGATTTTTTTTTTTAAATGCTATTAACAAAAAAAAAGAGCAATAGTATAAAAACTGTAAGTAATCTCTGAAAAGACAGATTCTAATGAGGAACTGAAGGCATACCTGTTATTTACTATTGTTTTTATTTTTTTTTGCCCCTAATAATTGAATCATTTTTTAGAATAAGAAATGATTTTTAAAACATGCAATACTTACTATGGATGGAGAACTAACGAATAGGTATAAATACAAGCAACTCAATACTATTTCAAACACATCAAAGGCTTGAGGTGTATAAGCACAGTTTCAAAATGGCTTTTAGTACAACATTTAAAATTTAAAGGTTATTTAATTGCACCCTGAAGGATGAAATAAAAATCTTACCAGTAGCAATGTGGCTCCAAAAGCAAGGCAAAAAACCATTGGTCCTGCCAAATCAGTTTCATTCATGATGCTGCCATCTGCTACTTTTAATGGATGTAATACTGTTAGTGTTTTTTGCCAGATGTGGTCAAAATTGATACCTAACTCTAAGGCGAAAGAAAATTTAAAAGTTAATTAGGATTTGTCATGTATTTTTTATTTATCAAAATCTATGTTGAAACAGGAGACAAAATGACATAGATAGCATCACAAAACAATCTAGCAATATTGGATGATATTATTATCATTATTGAGAGAGGGTCTCGCTTTGTTACCCAGGCTAGAGTGCAGTGGCATGATCATATAGCCTTGAACTTCTGAACTCAAGTGATGTTTCTGCCTCAGCCTCTTGAGTAGTTGGGACCACAAGTGTGTGTCAAAACACAAAGCTAATTTTTTATTTTATTTATTTTTTTATTTTCTGCTGTTCTTGTTTTTATTTATTTTTATTTTTATTTTTTTGGTAGGGATGGGGTCTTGCTGTGTTGCTCAGGCTGGTTTTGAACTCCTGTTCTCAAGAGATCCTCCAGCCTCAGCCTCACAAAGCACTGGGTTTACAGGTGTTGAGCCACTGTGCCTGGCCTGGATGATATTATTTTAGTGAGTTCTCTATGCCAGTCTTCATTGTGGTGCTCATCCCACAAATATGTCATTTCTGTATTGGTGTTGGAAAAGGGTATGGATATGATGAAACAGACACTTAATACATCCCTCAGGTATGACTGCATAGCAAAGAATATACAGAAAGGGTTAACAGTAAGAGGTTCTTTAACTGGGGCTTCAGGAATACCTGGGGGCCCATTTAACTGTATACAAAACTATGTCTCTAAGCACATGTGTGCATTGAGTATTCATAGCTTTCATTAGATTTTCAAAGAGTATCTGGTTCAAAAAACACATTCAGAACTATGGCTTTCTAGATTTTGGAATACAATTTGAAAATCACCTTTTTTTTTTTTTTTTGAGATGGAGTTTCGCTGTTGTCACCCAGGCTGGAGTGCAATGGCGCAATCTCGGCTCACCACAACCTCCGCCTCCTGGGTTCAAGCAATTCTCCTGCCTCAGCCTCCCGAGTAGCTGGGACTACAGGCGTGCACCACCATGCCCGGCTAATTTTTGTATTTTTAGTAGAGACGGGGTTTCACCTTGACCAAGATGGTCTTGATCTCTTGACCTCGTGATCCACCCGCCTCGGCCTCCCAAAGTGCTGGGATTACAGGCGTGAGCCACCGCGCCCGGCCACCATTTTTTTTTTAATTATACTTTAAGTTCTTGAGTACATGTGCAGATTGTGCAGTTTTGTTACATAGGTGTACACGTGCCATGGTGGTTTGGTGCATCCATCCCCCTGTCATCTACATTAGATATTTCTCCTAATGCTATCCCTCCCCTAGCCCCTGAATCCCTGCTGTCCCTCCCCTAGCCCTCCCACCCCGACAGGCCCCAGTGTGTGGAAAATCACTATATTTTTAGTGATGTTACTACTTCTGCCAGTTTATTTCCACATAAAATAATGGATACCATGCTTTTTCTTCTCACTTTTTCTGCCAGTAGAATTTAGTCAATAAACTGAAGTAAAAGTCAATGCTGACATAGTAACATACTTTATTATCACTATTAAAAGATCTATTAAAAAATTTGATCCTCTGGCCCAATGTGGTCTCATATATACTCTACTTAAAATGAGTTGCTTAGCAGAAAACTCTCTTCTACAAGTTTTTTTTTAAAGAAAAAGACAACTTCTCCAAATTAAGATTAATTTTCACCAACCAACTGAATACTACTGCGTACTATCAAGTGCTGCAACCAATCTTACCTTCTAATAAAGGTGGCTCATCCTCAAAGTTGTTTCCATAGAATGGCTGAGGTGAAGCTGGGGTATATGTCTGAGTTGGCTGGAAAATCTGCCCAGTGTATGGCTGTTGTGGTTGCATCATGTCTGGAGGGACAAATCGGCCTTGCTGCGAGTAGTCATAGCCAGGATACTGTCTATAAATGAAAGTAAGTTAATTTTTTCAGACGTATTTCAACTCCTGTACAGTTATCCCTTAAATTCCTAAATTTTCAGGTGACAGCTAGAGAACCTTAGTTGCACAAATTCCTAAGATATATACTTGGCCAATTTTTATGAATCATGATTGAAATGATTACTAACATCAAGCTGATTATCTACAATGAAAAATCATAATTCTTATAGAAAATCTTCTTAACAATACCAATATTCACTTACGTAGCACTAAGCATTTAATATACTGTTAAAGATTAGGAGGTCAACAAATGAAAACTTTAAAACTGTCTCTATTTTTCTCCCTTAGTGAATATACACAATATAAAGATACAATATGAAATAAAATCTGTGCCTAAGAATGAATGAAAGCTTAGGATGTCAGACTTTGCAATACATGTTACATAATTTTCCACTGTAATTTGGATAGCTGTTGAATTACCATTCTTTACTCTTCATAGTATGTTACCTTTGGCAAGTGGACAAATCTCTTTAAGAGCAACCATCAATTTTAAAATACAGTGGACAAATCAAGCTTTTGCTTTGTGAGGACTTGCTGAATATAACAGAACATTTTTAGTACACTTTGCATTTGAAGAGTACTTTTAATTTTTCATAGTTATACACTTATTGTCTCATTTGATATGTGCTATAGAAAACCCTGAATCTAGAGGGAAAACTTATCACAGCTATTTCAGTGACAATGACAAGAGGGAAGGAAGAGAAGGATATTGAAGCAACATCTTTAAACATCTGTTTCACCATGTTCTGAAAAAATCCAACTACTGATGGGACGAATCTAATGATATACTTAAAAACACAGATGTGAAATAGTTACTTTAAAAGATATTCTAAAAAATGAGAGCTGAGAAGCATTAGAAATCCTTTAGTCTAATTCCCATTTAAATTCCTATAGTCATAATGTCAGTTTTCCTTGGAGTGAGGCTCACTTTATTCATTTTTGAGAAAATATCTGCCAAATGCTCAAGTCTGAATAACCACAGTTTATCAGTTGTTCTTTCAAATAAAAATGGTCTTCAGGAGTAACAGCCAATTCAGCTTGCACAGGTGCTTTTCGTAAAGACAGTCATTGTACTTTAGCATGCAGTAAATACTAAATTTTGTCATACAGAATATTAAAGAAATATGTGTACTAAAGGGTGAGGGTTTAATAAAATAATTCTTACTGCTTCTTCAAGAGAATCCTTAAATGAAATTGACTCCCTGCCCACTCTCCAACAAGTCTGTAGAGTGACGAAGAATACGATGACTACTAGAACAACTTGATGCCACTATCTTGAGTCATACTCAGGTACCAGCAGTTTTACTAATTAATACTTTTGCAACAGCACTGCAAATGTTAACATACCTAAAAAGGTATATGGTATCTTAGTATTGTTATGAAAATAATTTTGACCTTAGAGAATCTCAGAAGAGTCTGAAGGACCCTCTGTAGTCTACAGTCTAAATTTTAGAACTGCTAATATACACCCATAAATTTCATGCAAGCAATTTATTGTTTCAAAGGTGGCACCAGCATTCCATCTTCAAGAGGAAAGGTGGAATGAATCTACAGCATCACAGAATTATTTTCTTTTTCTGGCAGGACTTATTCAGAAAAATTTCTGACTTACTCCTGCTGGTTTTAAATTAAAACATGGTATGGCACACATGATCTTTATAGACTAACGCAACATACTTTCATGGCAGGAAGAGTAGCAGATACTAAATTAATACTCTCATAAGTACTCTATACCAACAACAGACAAAGTCTCTTAACATATTGGGTTGGTTACCCAAGTTCAGGGAAATCCTCTAATATTCCATAAAGATACTATCAGGTAAATCAAAGGAGAAAAAACATAATACCTTTCACACTTTAAAAAATGTAACTTGGTATTATGATATATTTCATATGCATATCTAGAATACAATGTGGAACCTGTCCAATTTTCCATTTGTATAACTCAATGGATTATGATCAAAGGGTCTCTTATACTTTTTTGTTTTTGTTTTTTGGTGAATGGATGTATGAATGATACTTGTGACACACCTATAGAAGAAGCCACAAAATGTTAAAGCCGACTTCATATGGCAAATGCAGAACTGTGTACTAGTAACAAGTCAAGTTAAAAATTAATGACAACGCAAGTAATATGCTATTTGCACCTAGATTTTCATCAACGGAGAGCTAAACGTTATTGGCGGATCTTTGTTACCAAGTTAGCAAATCAAACAAAATATTATTTGGTTAATTGAGACGGATGTTTAAAATGCCATTAGATTGTAGAACTACTTGAAGGTACACACAGAAGAGTTCAATTTTTAAAAAAATGAATCTCAGAAACTCAAATTTATTACTGTTAATACATTAGGCTTCTTTTTTCCCCAGGCATCATCTATAAAGCCAAGTTTATAGCAATAATGATTATATAATCGCCTGGAATAAAGATTCACTAGTACTGAAGCAGTGTTTACAGGTACATAATTTGGTTGGAATGAAATTGTGAGATAGCACCAAGTACTAACTAGCAACAAGTTGTTTAGAATATCTAAATTGCTGTATGGAGAACTGAAATGACTGTTAAATGGAATGAGACTGTAAGTCACACCTTTTAAGTGAAGCAAACGTGGACAGGACAAAAAAGAAAGGCAGAGACAGATAAATCCCATAGGCTGCAATCTAAATGGAATAATTCTGTTGAATCTAACTATAAAAATACTATTCGGTTAAAAATAGGCCTGCATACAGAGACAGGTTCTCTGAAGCCCTGTTGCTGCTTTAGGCAAGGGTTTATTAGATGGACTCTGGCTCTCCTATACACAGAGCAATCACCAAAAACACATATTTAGGTAAATGAATGAATGGAAATATCTCAATACAAATTTTCCAATTCTGCCCATTAATTGATCAAAAGAGATAAATCCTCATTGATATGTAATTAAGAATTTAACAGAAAAGAGAAATGAATCAGAGGGTATTTTGACATGCTCACTACCATTGTTCAAATGTGTTAAGTTATAGAGGGTAAAACAAAGCCTTAGAATATAACAAATTAAGCAGACTCAAAGGGTCTATGGTTTTAGAAAGGATAGCCTAGCCAAGACAGACTATTATAGAGCAAGAGTGTATTTGAATTTTGTTTTGTTTCTTAAATTCTTGGGCACTCTAATGCAAACACATTCTGGCATTGCATGTTTCTCACGAACTGACATAACCTTCCCCTGCCCTCATTGTGGAACAGTCTTTATGAGGTTTTAAATTCGGGATCCATGAATGAACATCGTATAACACATGAATTGTCTTAAGTTAAATATGCACATTTATTTCGGTGTTTGAGTGAATGCATGTATTTATGGGAAAGAGGCCCAGTTGTAGTAAGATTCCCAAAGAGATCCAGAACCACCTAAGAAAGTTTAAGCAACCCTAATATAGGAAGCTCCTTTATTTGACAGGAAACCATTAAGATTATCTCTAGGGTCCTAAGAAACTAAGGAGAGGATGTTCTAGATGAGATTGCTAGAAAGACTCCAGTTCATTGTATTTTTGTCACAAACACCAGGTAATATAAAAAGATCACTAAAAAAAAAAAAAGTTCAGAGGCTAATGGCTCTGAGTCCACCTTCTCAGTATGCAACTGACAACATGTGTGGTACCGACCATAAGGGTTTCAGAAAGAGGAGTAATAAAAATGATTATCAACTGCTGTATGAAAATCACCTGATGATTCATAATAGTTGACCTTACACTGCTAATGTCACTAAGCACTTTCAGTTAGCACTGATAAAAGTCTCAGAGTTGGACTGATTTTACTACTAACAAAAGATCTTAATTTTTCACTAGTCCCATGAACTAACAACAGCCTATCTTCTAGGTACCTGAAGCTCCCATCTTCATCTAAATACAGAAATACTATTATTAGACAACAGTTCTTCAAACAAGCTACTTTTCCATTCATGGTACACCTGAAGATTTTGCAGAAGATAACCAACTCTAAATAGAGCAATACCTTCAAATCCAAACCAGTCACATGTCACATGTCTCTCCTGAGGAAGAAGATTATGCATGAAAGATCATATTACTGATAAAGGACATGTTCACACATTGTTTTAGGTAGAATCAAATATTCTAAATATGTGTCTTCCCTACAATGTAGACTAAATTAATTGCCAGAGATGAAAAGTTACTTGCTATAGGGTCCTCCACTTCCTCCATAATCATAGGACTGCTGTGACTGATCATCGATGCTGTAACTTGTCTGGTAGAAATCCGTGTTTAAGTTTTCAAAACCGGACATTGCAAATAATCTGTAATAAAAAAGAAATGGTAAATATTGCTTATGCCCCAAATCCTACTGAATTCATTCCTGGCAGTCTGCTTAAGCAAATACAGAACACAACAAATATTTTTTTCAGTAATGCGGGGGGCAGGGGAGAGGTCAGGGAGGAAATGCAGCATTAAGGGCGGTAGCGGAGAGCGAGTAAGAAAATGTCTATTCCCGAAGTCGCGGCCGAGTAAGACAACTCCACCTTAGGAGCTGATGTGCCTTCCGATAGAGGCGAGGTCGTGGGAGTGGTGGTGGTTCCACAGGGGTCTAACATATCGATAGTAAGAAAAATGATTTTTCACCTTGGGACAGGGTTTTACAGCTGACAACGCGACTGCTTCCTTGAAACATAAGGCCTGCCGCCTGCCAGGAAAGTGCAAAATCTTGGAAAGTCGCGCCTGAGGTGCAGGGGCCCGCATCAGAGCAAGGGCTTGAATGGGAGCGAGGGTCTGAGCGAAAGGACCAGGGCGCGGCGCCGAAAGACCGCAACAAGCCCATTTGCACAGGTGTGCAGAGAAGCCGAACAGTGTGCCACGGGCTTGGGTCACTCACCAAACGCGGAGGCTGCGCTGGCGGCAAAGGCAGTAGCTTCCGCAGTCCCAAACAATTCCCAAACTCAGTTTCAGATCCTGAAGCAGCCCCGTTGCTACGTGTCACCGGGCCAAAGAACTGCTTCCGGGGCATGCCCGCTCGCGCAGGCGTGTTGGCAGGTGTTGCGCTCTCCCCTTTGGTTGGGCACCGGTGGGTAGGGGGGGGGCGGAGACACGAATATGGAGCATGCGCATTATCTAATCCGCCTGCGGCGGGCCAATGCGAAGGGGGAAAGTGTTTCCGGCAGCCTTGTTAGCGGTGGCACCAGGAAAGCGCAGGCGCAGCAATTGCTGCTGAGGCGGAGGACTTTCTCAGACCGAGGTACTGGTGCGGGAGACGCTAAGTGACAGAAAGAGCCCCTTCTCCTGTCCACAAATTGCAGTGCCTCAGTATCTGCATTTATTGCGATTCAAGCACGGTGCTTAAGAGTTTATATGTATTATTTAATCTTTACAACCCAATGAGATGGTTACTTGGTTACTTCCCTTTTCTAAGTGAGGCTATGAAGTGTTCATTCATTCTGTGCTAGCTGGGGGGATACTGTGGTAAATATAAGCTGTATGATATCTACGCACCTGGAGTTGATGGTGGAGAGGGGTAATCAAACACGTACAAGTGCACATGAAATTGCTACTGATATTCTTTAGTGCTCCATAATTCCTTGAAAGAGTGTAACATTTGTCTCTAAAGAAGAGTCTGTAAAGCCACTGTAAGAGGGTTATCGAAGGGTGAGTGGGAGTTAGAGAAGAGGAGAAAAAAGAGGAAAGGGCCAGGGTAAAGGAGGACAAGGGAAAATAGCCTGAATATTTTAGGCAAAGAAAACAATGTATGCAAGACCTGGGAAGCATGAAAGATGAAATCGGGTTCTAAACTTAAGCATTATTGATATTTTGGGTCTAGATGATTCTTCGCTGGGGGCTGCCCTGTGCGTGTAAGATGCTTAGCAGTAGCGTCCCTAACCTCTAGCCATTAGATGCCAGTAATCCCCACAACCCACCACTACCACCAAGTTGTGACAGGTAAAAAACTCTCCAGATATTGCCAAATCCAAATGGCCCTGGGGTGGGGGTGGGGGCAACATCAGCTGAATTTGGGAACCACTCTTCTGTGAGAAACCTGAGTGACTGGAAGAGCAAATAAGGGGAGCCACATAGGAATTGAGGCCGATATAACAGGAAGGGGCCAGGAAATATCCTGTGGGATTTGTGTGTTAGTTTTGAAAGAATTCAAGATTGTGAACTGATGAGTGATGTTTAGATGGTTTTCTTTTGAAAAAGAATGCTTTGGCTGCTGTGTTAAATCACTTTCTCAAGGTGGTGGAATCCTTAATATTGTGACTCTAAATACCATGTTATTAACTAATGAGCAGAACTTTCTTCACGGTTAATGGTAATAATATTTATCATGAACCATTGCATCGTATTCTGGGATCAAAATCCTGAGATCCTCACAAAAGAAGCCAGACCATTGTTTGGGGACTAGTTTCCAAAGGAACAATAAAATTTCACTGAAAAAATTTCTCTCAACACCTCCCATCCCAATAAAACACAAGTAAAACTAAAACAAACAAATGCACTACCCTCCAAACAAAAATAGCAACAGCAAAAGGATATAACAACCAAACCAAAAAGCCTAGGATTGTGCTCTAGAGACCAACAGGTAGCTACCCTTTGAGGTTTTTACTTCATTGGTCTATTTATTTATTTATTTATTTATTTTTATGGATGCATAATAGTTGTACATATTTATGAGATAAAAGTGATAGTTTGATACAAGCATACAATGTGTAATAATGAAATCTGGGTAATTGAGGTATATCTGTCACCTCAAACATTTATCATTATTTTGTGTAGAGAAAATTCTAAATTCTAGTTATTTTGAACTATGCAATAAATTATTGTTAACTATATTTACCCTATTTTGCCACTGAACACTAGATTTTTGTACCTTCTATCTAAATATATTTTTGAATTTCTGAAATTCAAGTGTTTAATTTACCACCTTTCAGTTTAGCATTTATTGGTTTGGGTATCATCTGCACAACTTTAGGTAGAATGACCACTGATTATGATTTGCTAGAGACAATCCCATTGTCCCATTTTCTGCCTATTTTTACTTACCCCCAGCATAATTATTAATATTGTTTCCTTTTAGTCTAAAAAAATCCTACTTCCATTGATAAACTTTGTGATTATACTTTCTTTAAGCTACATTATCCATGAAACTGAGTTTCTAGTAATCAACAATAGGCAATAATTATCTACTTAATAATCTTATGGTTAAAAATATTCTAGTCTCTTGTTTCTTTCTGATATTTCTATTTCTTCTGAATCAAGAAAGATATCCCTTTCAAATTTGAATGAGCTACAAGAATATGAGCATTAAAAATTGCCAGTTTAGATGCTGGCAAAGTTGTAGACAAAAAGGAATGTTTATACACTGTTGGTGGGAGTGTAAATTAGTTCAGCCATTGTGGAAGATAGTGTGGTGATTCTTCAAAGGCCTAAAGACAGAAATACCATTTGACCCAGATATCCCATTACTGGGCATACACACAAAGGGATATAAATCATTCTATTATAAAGACACATGCACGTGTGTGTTCAATGCAGCATTATTCACAATAGCAAAGACATGGAAGCAACTCGAATGCCCATCAATCATAGACTGGATAAAGAAAATGTGGTATATAAGCACCATGAAATACTATGCAGCCATAAAAAAGAATGAGATAATGTCCTTTGTAGGGACATAGATGGAGCTGCAGGATATTATCCTTAACAAACTAATGCAGGAACAGAAAACCAGACACCACATATTCTCCGTGAAAGTGGGAGCTAAATAAGGCGAACACATGGACACATAGAGGGGAGCAACACACAGTGGGAGATGTTAGAGGGTGGAGGGAGGGAATCAGGAAAAATAACTGATAGTTACTAGGCTTAATATCTGGGTGATGAAATAATCTTTACAACAAACCCCCATGATACAAGTTTATCTTAGGTACTAGGCTTAATTCCTGGGTGATGAAGTAATCTTTACAACAAACCCCCATGATGCAAGTTTATGTAACAAACCTGCACCTGTATCCTTGAACTTAAAAAATTTGCCTTTTTAGAAATGAATTATTAGTATAGATGTTATTCAAATTCTACTTCTGTCTCTGAAAACAATGAACATATTTATTTAAATTTTTCCCCTCGAATTTCTGCTCTAGTCGAGAAGCCAAGCAAGAAAATTGAGTTACCTGATTAAGTTTTACATAATGTTTGTTTGACTTTGAAACATAAGCCAAGGTATCATTCAGATATCCCTTAGGGATTTTGAGGACATCCATTAATTTCATGGTTAGTCATGTAGGAATTTCTTTTTGGATTTTTTTTTTTTTTTTTTTTTTTTTTTTTTTTTTTTGGCATTGCTTCCTCACTCTGGGATGAGGTCCAGAAAGTTATATTAAAGGAAACTGGAGTACTTGGTAAATGTGCCTTCCTCTGTTAAAGTCACCTAGCTGGCTTTATCAGGAGTAGAAAGCCTCACCTAGGTTAAGAGATGAGGTAATATGAACTAGACCTGTAATAGCTGCACAGTCCTTCCCTGAGACCTAATGTATCCATCACCAAAACAAAAAGGGAAAGGACATGCTAATAATGAGTAATATCATTTAGTTAGACAGTCATGCTAGTATACATCATACTGATACTTTTACATACTTCAAAAACCCCGTTCTCTAACTCTGGCTGTGAAACTGAGATATTATAGTTGCCTTCTTTCCCTTCTGTTTTTCAGTTAATATGTCATGGAAAATCGTGCCAGAAAATTATGGTTTGAATATGGACAGTTTTCTCCTATCTTCAGCTATATCCACAAGCACCACATGAAATGGAAATCTGGCAGCTCTGTGTGTATCAGTCAAGTTCCGCAATGAGACCTGATAATTACGGTAAAAACCAATATAAATACCCAGTGTTTGTTTTCGCTCTCCCTACATAATAACTATGTAACTTCTTTTCCAAAATATGACAGTTATATTTTCCCCAAATTATCTTTTTTCCTTTGCAAAAGAGTTTCCTCATCAGGTCTCCTGTATTAGGTTATTCAAAGTCTGCTTCTTTTATTTCAGTTCTTTTACTTCGAACAATGAATAGTTTTGGGAAGACAGAGTTGCCTGTAATGGCATTGAATGATTTTGTACAGCACTGGTTTTATAAAGCAAAGAAAGTTAACCCTGATTTCATAACTATTCCTGGAAGCTTGACTTCAAAATTGCAAGTGCTACACGTTGTTAAAAAAAAAAAAGTCTTTTAAAGATAACATTTAAAGCAGTATTGTAAATACTGTATATATTTTCATTGTAGAGATCAAAAATACCCTCTTAAGTAACAAATAAAAACATTGCTAACGTCAAGTGAATGGGTATTGTGGCTTGGAATATGAATTTCAGTGAAGGCACTGAAGCACTGAAATCCTGGAAGTCAGTATTTCAAATAACTTAGGTAGAAGGGGAGAGAACGTGAGACAGCATGGGAGAAATCCAGGTGGGCTCTAATGAGGGCAAAGCCACTCATGCCAAAGGTAAAAATGAAGCATTTTAAAAATATAGCAGCTAACACATATATACTTCAAGCATTTGTGTGCCAAGCATTTCTTTAAGCACTTTGCACTTTTTGACTCAATTACTCCTCCTAACAACCCAAAGAGGTAGGTGCCGTGTAACTCCCATTTGACACGTAGGAAATTGAGAACAGAGTAATCTTTTAAACATTATTATGCTAGAAAATAGTAGACTAGAGATTTTGAAGTCATTCCTGAGTCCTTATGCTAAACCACTAGGCTGTATTGTTATTACTATGAAATGTGAATGTAGAAAAAGCAATAATTCTGATTAATGTACTAATTTATCTAAAATGTGGTTGCTGATATCTATATAAACTAAAATTGCAACTAGACATTTGAAAATTGTGTCTGCATCTCCACATTTATATACATTCAAGTTGATAGAAAATATTTTCTGTCATCTTCTCATTGGGCAAATAATCTTTAAACCTTATGTTTAAGTTTACATTACATTAGTCTTGTATAGTAATCGATATTGCATGGTAGTTAAGGGTACAGG